GACCAATGAAATCTTGACGACTTATGACCTTTCTGGTCGACTAACATTTGGTCGGCTATTAGCAAGCAAACCCTAGGTCTAGACGGCCCTGTTATTTGCCTTTGCCCTGTTAGTCATTGTATCTACATTAGTGGTGATTGTAGCAAAAGCACCAACAGTCAAACTTACAGTATCATCCCAATATCGATATTGAGAAATTTGTTCAAAAGTATTGTGATATTTTATTTTCTCCAGATCGCCCAGCCCTAGCATTAATGTGTACTTTAAGGTTTGTTACTGTTTATACTGCAAGGTAGCTTGGGAATTTTATCAAGGGATCAATCAAGTCTTGCCTTTATCCGTAATAATACATCATAATGTATTTCTTGATTATATTTTGTATAATTAATACGAAACTACAAAGTAACTGATGTTATCAAATTAACGTGGAGGAGTAAAATGTACAATATTTCCCCCAGAAATGCAGTGGAGTGGAAGTTTAAAATAGCATAAAATGCACATGTTCAAGTACCTCAAAACTGTACTTAGTTACAGTACTTGATTAAATGTACTCAGTTACCTTACACGGCTGTATTCCCAAAAGAAATTGTGGTCTTTTATGCACTGTGTGCTATAGAGTAGGGCTGCAACTAATGATTATTTTGATAAATGATTAATCTCTTTATTTATTTTTCATTAAACCATGTAATTGTTGCCTTTATAAAATGTCAAAACATAATGCAAAAATGCTGATTACAATTAGGGCTGAATGTGATGTCTTTGTTTTGTCCAATGGAAAGTCCAAAACCCAAAGATAATAAGTTTAAAATGATGTAATTCAAAGAAACCAAAAACCTGTAACATTACAGACGCTGTTTTTTGTGCCTTTGCTTAATAAATTATTAATTCAGTTATCAGAAAATGTTGTGGATTGACAAAGTGATTAAGTAACAACTTGTTTCGTCACTAATTCAGAGCGAACATGGGAAACATTGCCGTTTCTTACTACTGAAAACAAGAACACTGTCATACAATCCAAATTAATAGTATTTAGATTCTTTTTCTCACTGCGATTAAAAGTGAAGATTGATAAGAGTTAAGATTGACCAACAAGATTCATATATCATCTTTATTATCAACAGTGTCCATCAGCATCAGAAAGATGTATGAGAAATAAATAAAAACAATTTGTACTCCAGATTTTGGTGGTGCTGTTGTTTGGAGAAGTGATTAAGGTTCCAGGAACTTGATTGATTTCAGTATTTTTTTGACATTTTATAGATTTAACATAGTTGGGAGATAATGAAAATAATCAAACAGGGCTTCTCGTCTACAGCTACTTGCCACAGTCAATTTTGATATTTGCCCTGCTCAAAAAAAGCTGCACACACACAGAAGTACCACATGACCATAAATTAAGGAAGAGGTGGCGGAATTGTTAATGGTTGATTTTCATGGTATCCTGCGATTAATGGAAGACAATGGCTGTCTGGAAAATTGGAAACCAATCTAAAAATTTGCAGTATGCTCTGGAATATTACTGAGAAATATGCAAAGAATTTGGTCTGTAGTTAATTTCAGAGCTCCTGAGTTCAAACAGGGACACCATAGATCAAGTCGTAGATCTATGGCCATAGTCTTGCAAGTATTCATCTTTGAGGAAGGATGAAAACAAGAATAAAATCATAAAAGCTTTACAGCAGCAAATGTTGTGTAAAATATGTCATGACCTTAATTGGTAACTTTTTTGTTGCAGTCACTGATAAAAGCCCCTTTTACTCTGTGTTTTTAAGGCTGGAATATCGCCTGCGTGAGACCCAACAGCAACCGAAAATGTCTGCAAAATGGGAAAACAATGAAGTCCAGGAGCTCCTAACCCTACGAGCACAGGACGAGATCAACCACCATATAACAGAGACGGTAAATGATTGTTATTGCCATGTTTTACAATTGTTATTGCTGACGCATTTGTTATATGTCAAACTAGAGGCTGATGCAGTTGTGTTACATGTCACTCCTTTCACGCCTCTTTCGATTCTGCAATACTGGCATGCTGTCTAAAATTACCACTGAGAGCGGCATCATGCTGCGGTTGGTTGGCTCTGTGTAAAAATGCAAAGGCGGCATAAAGAAGGGACTTTGTAGTGCCGCTATAGCACAATCTCTGATTAGCATTTTGAAAAGCAGCCAAAAATTAGTAGAGAATGTTCAGTTTTACACCTCTGCCTCTGCGGGACGCATGTTACAATAACAAATAGGGATAAAATTAATTCATTCACAAAATAAGAAAAAGCATGTTGGCTGATTCTGTTCATTTTTAAGCCAATATCTGCCAATATCGATGACGTGCATCCCTAGTACTTGTTCCTCATGAAGGCTGACAAAAATTATCAGATGAATTTGCTGTCTCATGTGAAAGCGTGTAAGCAATTCCAAAACTTTATAAATACTATTTATCTCTTAAAGTATTACACAGACTTTCTGTTGCTGCCTAAACAGGGTGGCATCCCTGTACTAGTCAGTAATCCCTCCCAAAATCTCAAAGCAGAGTCCAGTGCGTTACAGCAGTGGCAAGCAGCAGATGACTTGCAGCATTAGAGAGAGTGAAGAAGAGAAAGGGAGAGGGGAGGGAGGGAGGGATGAGGGGAGGGCTGGGGTGGAGATTGTCGAGCTGTTGCTCCGTGTTATGTGTCGTGTAGAAGCACACTGGAGAGGAGAGGAGGAGGTATCCGACAGCAGGGAAAAGCTGAAACCTCCTTGGGGAGGTTTGTGTCAGCCACATGCTCCGGCTGGTCCTCACTGAGCCAGGCCTTTTGTTATGCTGATTTACTCAGTCTTTTGTCCAAGACACTGATGGAGGGTGTTTGTGTGTGACAGAGAGGGAGGGAAAGAGACAAGAAAGAGAGATGGAACGACATAGTTTACAGCATATTGTAGATTATATGTAGATGTATCAATAATCACATATTTAGTGGATAATGGTGCACATAATAATATCTTACCAACCCATGCAATACTTACTCATTAAATAAAACCCATCCATGAAACTGAAAATGTTCAATTGTTGATGAGACAGGGTGAGAAAGTTGTTGATCTGACTCTTTGTTGATTATTCCAGATTGTTTTTGTAGTTTTGTAAACATTTTCTATTATTTAATGAACTCTTTCAACAGTATTTAAAACTTAGCAGCTTGGGCTGGACATATTACAGAAAGATTGACTGGAGGATGTAATGTTGATAAAAGCTGAAGGGAGCTGATCAGTTTGCCTTCTGTCACCTCGTCATCTCATGAAAGCCAAAAGCATAGTACTCAATCAAAACATGAGGAGTTTCTCTGTGGTTATTTTGTCCACATTATTCTGTCTACTATTTGTATACTCCTAGTAAGTTTGGGCAAGTAATCAAGCTTAAGTTTCAATTACAATTTTGTCTTCCAATGATATTGAAAACAAGATAATTGAGATAAAACAATTGTTGGGAAACTGCCCATTGGTCCGACATCCCATTGTTCCGACCATATTAAACTCATTGTTCCGAAGTCCCGTTGTTCCGAAATCATCATGATGCCCTGTGGTTAAGGTCTGGTTAGGTTTAGGCACAAAAACCACTTGGTTAGGGTCAGGAAAAGATCATGGTGTGGGTTAAAATGAAAAAGAAAGTGACAAACACATAAGCCGTGAGCCTGCTCCGCCTCAAGCCTTTCCCAGCTGACCCAGAGCCGGTCGCGGTGCACCACCAAGGTAGAAATACGCCCGCCGGGAGCCGTTCAGCACCGTGGACTGTTGGACTAATGGGATGTCGGACCAATGGGGTGTCGGACCAATGACATGGACCCCAATTGTTGTGCCACAGTCTGTATCACAATAACGCTCTCATTTTTGTCTTATGACCCCTTTCCTTTACAGCAGTGTTGCGAACTTGGCAACTTTCTTGCTAGATTTAGCAACATTGCAGACCCCCTTAGAGACTTAATTTCTAAAAAGTAACTAGCAACAAATTTAGTGGCTTATTCAGACCATCTGGGGCAGAAAAAAAGAAGTAGCCTATATTTAAATTTTATTGCAGTTCATTCAAATGCATGCTGCTCAGAGTAAAAGAGCCCTTTCACAAAGGACGTGGGATCCCTCGTAGGCTGTGTTTATATTTATTCACTATTTATTTTATGACATTGTCAATTTTTGTCTTTTTTTTTTTTGTTTTCAGTTAAATTATATTTCAGGTTCATGAAATAAAATTTAATTTTTTTAAATTTAAGTTCAATAAACGCAGGATGTTTCCAAAGTCAGGGAGTAATCATATTAAGTAACTGTGGTTTCAATATTCACCAAAAAAAATCATGATTATGATTTTTGCCCATTGCACATGTAAATAAAAATGTAAAAATAAATAAACAAAAGCAGCAGGTTTCACTCCAGACAATAATCCAATTATTTATTAAGAACACCTGTAAAAAACCTTTAAACTCCATTCAGACAAGCATTATTTGATTTAAACGGTGAATTTAAAAGGCTGCAATTCCAATTATTTCTATTATTGATTAATCATTTGGCCTTTAAATGTCAGAAAACAGTAAAATAAATAAATAATAAACGTTATCACTTCCCAAGGCTGAAGGTAACGTCTGTCTATAAATGTCTTGTTTTGTCTGACCAACAAAGATGTTCATTTTACAATTATTTAAATAAAAATACATGAGCAACAAATCCTCATATTAGAGACCCTGGACACGGAGAATGTTTGGATTATAGATGGGGGCAAAGGGAAAGAGAAATAAATGAGCACAGAGGGAGGAAAGAATGAGGAGGACTGAGGGGAGAAAATGACAAAGAAAGACACAAAGAATGAAAGAAACAGATAAAGAAAGGAAGACAGAAAGTGATGACGGCACACATCAGGATGAGAAGTGAACCTAATCAAGGTTATAGTGGAGTGATGCACTGAGACAGAGGGAGGGAGACAGAGAGAGGATGACAGAAGGTGTCCCTCTCCCCAGCGTCCAGCCCCCAGCTTTGACGTCACAGGCTGAGAGACACAAAACAAGCTGCTCTCCGCTGAGCTCCTCACTTGATTTCCACTCACACTCTCCAACGCACATTCACGCCTGCCCTCAGACACGCCGCGACACTTGCCTCGGCACCCGCTCAGCCCTGAGCCGGTGTGCGTAGGCGTCCAATCATCTCTACACCAAAACATTGCACTCCAGCAACAAGAAATCCACTTGGTCTCTCTCACCCCTCAGGACTGAAACATGCTCCGTCTCTTGTGAGTGATGCCTAATTCTGTGTGAGGCTGCCGGCAGGAGCACGCGGGAGAACAAGGAGCGCTCCGACTCCCAACCCTGACCCCGTCCCAGAAAGCAGCAGATGTGAGAGAAGAGGAGAGGCGGAGAGAAAGAAACACAATCTCCCCTACCCCTCCTTCCTTCATCTGGAAGAACAATACCCAGCCTCCAGTTGGAGAGGGTCAGCTTTTGTCCCTCTCCTCACGCTCAGAGCAGACAGACGCGCTGACACATTGACCTGCTGCTGTGAGAGGAGAGGACGCTGCAAAACAGTTGCTGCATGTTTGATTCAGTACTTGGACAGCTCCTGAGCGACAACCAGCCCGGCTGTGTGTGTGTGTGTGTTTGTGTGTGTGATTCCATGAGTGTGTAGACTCTGTCGTTTTTGATTCGGAGACCAAAGAAGCACAGATGGAGCCCCCGTGCTCGCTCCAGCTCGGCCCCTGTGGCCCCTCTCCATCCCTGGGATCGCAGAGCAGCACTGTCGGCTTCCAGCATCTGGGAGAGAAGCAGCTCTTTGAGAAGTTTTGGAAGGGGACTTTCAAGGCTGTGGCCACCCCGAGACCGGAGAGCGTCATTGTGGCCAGCATCACCGCCCGCAGGAGGGTGAACAAGTGAGTTCTCCACTTTATAATCGCAGTAGGAGTGTGTTTTTTCCATGTTTGAAATGTGTTTGCTCTCCAGCTGCTTCAGTGAGAGTGTTCAAAGACTGTTCTTTGCGTCTGTTGAGGAAGTAACTCTCCATTGTAACACGTTTGGTCATACAAAACATCAGCAAGTGGCAATGAATTTTGACTGATGTTTGGGAGCAATATTTTAAGCGTACTGATGTCAGAACCTCTAAACTCATATTTTGTGTCACATACTGTAGGTATCTTTGTTGTCTGCTTATGCCAAGACATTCGTAAAGGTTCTAGTTTTCATTGTAAGATTTGCTTTCGGATTTCTTGCATGTCGCACAAGGGAGAAGTTGATCATATCATGCAAGTTCGTGTAGCCACAAAGACAATGTTTCTGGTAATTTACAGGTCAAAAGAAAACTGAAAACTGGGGTAAATTTGGTCAAAAATTAATTTTACATTTTGGATGTGTAGGTTTCATATAACCAGCACTCATATGTAACTTGTCTTAAAACCTTTCATCTTAATTTAGCCCAGTGTTGACCCAGGAATCTTTTTTCTCAGTGCTTAAAGATGATAAAAGCTCAAAATATGTCTTCAGTGTTGACTCACAACTGATCACCAATTTATATGGTCTCTCTTTGCTTCTGTATGCCGTGCGACACATGTGACATACAGCCAAACACAGCTGGCATGAAGAGTGTGACGTTCACTTAATTGTCCCCTCTAAAGGTCACATGGCAGCATCTTCAAGCCTCTAATGTCACACTTGTCCCCTCTTTCCCCTTGTGACATGGCTTTGTGCCAGCGTCTGTTGACGGAGCAGCGTGTCACGTGTTTGCTCCTCCACTTTCATCCCTCCGACCAAAGGTTAGCAGGAACACTCACAGCCTAAGAGCGGAGGAGAGGGAGAGACGTTGCCCTTTTTCTCCTCCTTATCCTTTATTTTAATCCCATATCTGCTCCTGTGTGCACGATCAAATATCACATGCTGGCTTTGACAACTTTATATATTCTGTCATGCGCTGCTCTGCCTGTTTGTCAAACACCACACAACACAGACAGTGACACCATTTTGCCTTTGAGAACGGCTCACAGTGTATGTAACAGAGCACGTAATGAATGTTCAAACAGGTACAACATTTACACAACCACACTTAGATTTGCGCATGCGCGTTCGCATATCAAATGATGTAGCTTGGTCGGGTGACCTTTGAATGGTTTTGACACCCACTATCAACTTTCTCTTATGTGAAATTAGCTATGTTAATGAGGATTAGAATGGCCCATTTCATCCTACATCGGCACAGGCAGCGCAACACACTGAACCAGATAATGTGTCTTTAATGGGTTCTATTACAGCAGGCCCATAATGCTGCACATGGTCTAGCTATAAAAGATTTTATTAGCTTGTAGGATATGACTAAAAAAACACTTTATTGGAAGAATATGACCAAATGCCTTTTTTTTTTTCGTTATGTCCCAGCCCAGCAATCTAACCCAACAACTGTAGCACTAATTTTTCTGTCAATCAACCGTAACATTGTACAGATGATAGATTCAAATCTATTTAGGGAAACAGGCAAAATCCTTCAAAAAAGTGAACTTTAATGTGGCTGGCTGCCATGAACTGAGCAGTTTTTTTTAAAATAGCCGGAGACTCTGGAGCGGGGCCCAGCTGTCTCTTCAGCTTTAGCTTCTTGAGGAAGGAAGCTCTCCTCAAGTGGCTTTGCCCCTCTACGGGCTTCGCAGGGGTGACAGTGACGATGATGGCAGCACGGCAGAGGCAGGCGAGACCGAACGTCCCCAGAGAGCAGACATAATGTTGCTAATTCGCCCGAGTCTGTTAGTCAAAGACGACAGCGGCGTCTCCATTGTCCGCTGTCGTCTCTCTGGTCCCGCCTCGGTGTGTTTTTGCAGGAAGGGTGAAATGCAGAGGGACTTTTGGGTGATACGGATTGTAAATAATGGGTAAAACACAACAAACACACACCTAGAGAATATGAATGCATGAGGAGGCTCAGGCGTCCTCCTCCTCCTCCTCCCCTCCCTCCCTGCTGCACTGTTGATATTGCCCGAGCAGAGTGTGACTGGGGAATGCTTAGACCATCAGAATGCATGGCCTTAGGCTCGCTCCTCTGCCTCTTCCTCTCCAAGAGGAAACATCATTATTCACTGTGGATAACTGAGGGGTGATGAACAATTGCAGTGAAAGTGAGGGGGCATTATGTACAACAAGCAGAGAGGGAGAGAAGAGAGACCACAGGGAGATGTTTCATGTTCAATCAGCACGGGTCTTTTTTTTTTTTCTTTCTCTCTGCCTGCACCGTCCTCGCCCTTCGTTTCTGTTCTCCTCCTCCTCTCTCTTTACTCCTGGAATAAAAATGCTGGAGGGGCCCATGAGCCACAGAGGAGTAATTAGAGTTTGTTGTTCACCCTCTGTCCTCCCCTCTCTGTCCTCCCTGTTTGCTCCTCTTCAGGCCAGTCACACAGTGGAGGGGAGGAGTTCACTGGCTCTGTGCAGCGGGGTGGGGCTTTGCTCGAAACCATTATGACCCCGCAAGCTGTTTTGTTCACGGGGGGGGGCTCCTCATTAAATATGCAGCCTGGCTAACTTTGGGATGTGTGTGTGTGTGTGTGTGTGTGTGTGTGTGTGTGTGCATTCATGTGCATCTGTACTGGACGTGTTTTCCAGCAATTGCAAGGGTTTGAAATGAGGGTGTAAGCTTGTGTGTGTGTGTGTGTGTGTGTGTGTGTGTGTGTGTGTGTGTGTGCGTGTGCGGCTGCCGTGTTAGTGGGGTCTTGTCCAACTCTGTGGCAGATGGCAGGCTCGGGAGAATGCAGTGCAAGGGAGGGGGGAACGTGTGTGTTTGTGTGTGTGTTTGTGTGTGATAGGGGGTTTCAGGCCCTCTTACCTCAGCAGATGTTGATTTAACGAGGAAGAGAGGGAAAGGGTTTGGAGGGGCTTGTACACTGACAGCACCAGTGGGAATATACAGCGGGGTGGACAAAATAACAGGAACACCTTAGACCAGAGCGCAGTGCAATCCAACTACAGCCTGAAGAATGACCATAAGGTCGAATCACCACGCTTGAAATGTTCTAAACAAAAATGAATCATTAAAAAAATACTGACTACAGAACTGTTACACAAAATTGATAATAATAATAATAAGAAGAATAACAATAAGAATATTTATATAGCACTTTTAGAGACAGAATTACAAAGGGCTTTAACAGGAATAACCAAGAGAGTAAACCGTAAAAATGCTAAATTAATGAGATTACAAGATTAATTTAATAATAAAACACGGGTCATAACAGTAAAACAATGAGGAGCACAGAAAAATCAGGTCAAACAGGATGCAGACACAGTTACAATTTAAAAAATGGCTGTCCGATAAAAGTGACTTTTAAGAAGTGAGGTAAAAGATGTTACAGAGTTGACTAGCTTGAGATACCCAGGCAGGAAGTACCAAAGCTGAAGGGCATGAACTGAAAAAAGGCCCAGTTACCTCGGGAAACAAAACGATTCTTGAACAACTAGGAGACCCCTGCCCGAGGATCTCAGGCTGTGCTCATAACGGATTAACGTCAACAATAACTAGGGGCATGACCGTGCAAAGTCCAACCATTTATTAGCAAAATCTTAAAATCAATTCTAAAACCCATAGGGAGCCAATGCAAAGATGCGAGAATGGGATGATGTGATCTGATTTCACAGAGTTTTTAAAAGCCTTGTGGATGAGCTGCAGGCGTGCAAATGACTTACTTACTTAAGTGACTTAAGAGTTAAGAGAATCACAGTAGTCCAACTGAGAGGAGATAAAGGCATGGATTACTTTTGCAAAATCTGCAGCTGTTATAAATGATTTGATTTTAGATATTAGTCCTTAACTGAAGGAAACATGACTGTATAACCCTTGCTGCTTGGTTGTTTAATGACAGGCTTGGGTCAAATATAAGCCCTAAATTGCAAGATAAGACATATGTTGGTAAACAACCAAGATTAGGAGCTGACAGAGAAGGTGGGCCAATCAAAAGAACTTCAGATTTTGATTAATGTTGTTGAAGAAAGCTCTGTGCCACCCAGCCGTTTGAGATCAGAAAGGCAGCTGAGGAGTAGGGCTATGTTTAAGATCTCACCAGGTTAAAGGGGAACATACAGCAGTGTGTCATCAGCGTAAACATGAAAATCAGTAGGCAAGGCAAGGCAAGGCAATTTTATTTATATAGCACCATTCATACACAAGGCAATTCAATGTGCTTTACAAGAGAAATACATTAAAAACAATAGATCATTAAAAACAAGAGCTAAAAGCAAGAAAATAAATAGTTAAAATCAGTGCAGAAAATGCATTTAAAAAGCAAACATAAAGCAAAAGCAACAGCAGACAAATATAAAAACAATAGCTACAGATTATCCTAACAATAAGTTACATATCTAGTTCACTGGTAAGCTGCAGTAAATAGTAATGTTTTAAGCCCTGATTTAAATGAGTTGACAGTTTCAGCCGACCTCAGATATCCTGGAAGTTTGTTCCACAGGCGGGGAGCATAGAAACTAAAGGCTGCTTCACCTTGTTTGGTTTTAAACCTGTTCCAGATGATCTGAGGGGTCTGGATGCTTCATAACGTACAAGTATATCAGAGATGTATTTAGGCCCAAGACCATTTAGTGCTTTATAGACAAGTAACAAGATTTTAAAGTCTATCCTTTGACACACAGGAAGCCAGTGCAGTGACTTAAGTACTGGTGTAATGTGCTCCACTCTCTTGGTGTTGGTGAGGACTCTGGCAACAGCGTTCTGGACGAGCTGCAGTTGTCTGATTGATTTTTTACTCAGGCCTGTGAAGACACCGTTACAATAGTCCAACCTGCTGAAAATGAAAGCATTAACAAGTTTTTCTGTATCTTGTTTAGACAGAAATTCTTTTATTCTTGCTATGCTTTTAAGGTGGTAGTAGGCTGATTTAGTAATTGTCTTAATGTG